ACTTCTCTCTCTCTCTCTCTAACGAAGCACACTACACCACCTCTCTCTCTCACTCTCGAGCAAAACGAACCTCTTCTCTCTGTCTTGGACCTCTCTCTCTCTCTCTCTCTCTAAACAATCAATCCTTCACCACCTCTAAAGAGAGAGGCACACACCATCTCTCTCTCTAAACGAACTTCTCTCTCATCTCTATCATGGCCGTCGGAACCATCACCAAAGAGCACATCTACCGCTCGAAGCTCCCCGACATCGAAATTCCGAACCACCTCCCCCTCCACACCTACTGCTTCCAGCACCTCGACACCTTCCGCTCCCGCCCCTGCCTCATCGATGGCTCCACGGGCCGCCAATACTCGTACGATGAAGTCCACTCAATCTCCCGACGCGTCGCCTCCGGCCTCGTAAAGCTCGGCATCCAGCAGCACGATATCATAATGCTCCTCCTCCCAAACTCCCCCGAATTCGTCTTCGCCTTCCTTGGTGCCTCCTTCTGCGGTGCGACTGCCACTACCGCCAACCCATTCTACACCCCCGCCGAGGTCCAGAAGCAGGCACGCGCGTGCAGGGCCCGCCTCGTGGTGACCCTGGCGCGCTATGTCGAGAGACTCAGCGGGCTCGAGGGTGTCAAAATCGTGTGCGTCGACGAGCCCCCGGAAGGTTGCCTCCACATGTCTGAGCTCACCGAATCGACCGAACCATTCACAGAGCCGTCAATTGAACCCGACGATGTGGTCGCCCTGCCCTACTCCTCGGGCACGACCGGGCTCCCAAAGGGTGTCATGCTCACTCACAAAAGCCTCATTACGAGCGTAGCTCAGCAAGTCGATGGCGAAAACCCTAATCTCTATTTTCACAGTGAGGACGTGATTCTCTGTGTGTTGCCCCTGTTTCATATCTATTCACTGAACTCTGTGCTGCTGTGTGGGCTGAGAGTGGGAGCTTCCATTTTACTCATGCAAAAATTTGAGAATGTTGGGCTTATGGAGCTGGTGGAGAGATACAAGGTGACCATTATGCCGATCGTGCCACCGATCGTGTTGGCGATAACGAAGAGCAAGGAAGTGGGAAGGTACGATATGTCGTCGATAAGGACGGTCATGTCCGGGGCGGCACCCATGGGGAAGGAGCTCGAGGACGCCCTCCGGGCGATGCTGCCCGACGCCAAGCTCGGACAGGTGAGGCCATGGACATCTTAGAGAGAGAGACTGTGTGTGTGTGTGGAAGAAAAACTGAGAGAGTGGGAGCTGGGACAGGTGAGGCCGAGGCCATGGCCATTCTAGAGAGAGGAGGGAAGCTTAGGATTTAAAAGCACACCAGTCCCTAATTTCCTTTTAACAGCCTTGAGTCAAACAAAGAGATTTGATTAAGTTAAAACACCTTAATATTCGGTATTATGTTCCATTTAGAGAGAGAGACCCCCTAACTTGGTGAGAGGAAGCTTTACCTAGAGAGACTACTTTTAGTTAAATTAAAACTCTTTATATGCTAATTCTACAGAGAAAGTACACTAAACTTTCTCACTCTAAAAAACGTAGTTTTGGTCGGAAAGAGTACCACTAACTTTAGCATTTTTCCAATTTCCAAATCTGCTTAAATTTGTTTGAGGAATCTTGTCTTTATAAACCATTTTAGATTAAATCCAATAAAGAAAATCCTCACCTCATAATTCATCTAAAATTTCAAGTAAACCATCGGACAACCTTTACATCCCATCTCGACTTAGAACTTGATGGTTGTGAAATAAAAAATAAAAAATATATATTGTAACAAATTATCTTGGCCGCCTTTTTGTTTTAAAAATGAGTGTTTACAAATCTGCAAGATTCGTCTCGTCGCCAAAAGTACTTTTCGAACGAGAATTTGAGATGAAGTTTTATTTCGTTTTCATAAAACCTAAGCCATATAGAAATCTCATACCTTAAATAAATTCACTCCGATAAATGTTAACAGGGACAGAAAATAGGCTGTCGCATTAAAACCGAATATTTTGGTTTCCTTTTTATAGGTTAATTATGCCCCCAAAGGCTTTATGTGGCATAGAAAATAGCTCTTCAGGCTTTTATATGGGAAAATATCAAAACCATCAAGGGGTCAAAAGAGCGCAATCAATATAAGCATATATCTCTTCAAAAACTATCTTTAAAAATACCTAAAAATTTTTTTGTTAGGTTTTAGGGATACTTTACAAATTTCAATAATTTGACAGTACGCAAGAGCACTCCTGTTATTTAGTGAGGCTTTCTTAGTTGGTTCAAATTACTAACTAAAATTCCTATGTTTTTCCAATATTCCCAACCCATAACCAAAGCAATTTGTCATTTTTGGGAAAGTCTTTATAAAAATTTATCAAAGTATATGTTAGAGATGAAGTAAATTTGATAAGTTTCTCAAAACTCTTTTTTGTAGAAGTACTTAAGTGAAATAAAAATTAAAAAGAAAATCATCTAATATTCATTAGCCTTCTCGATCTCTTAATGATTTCCCAATATATTTTCCCTTTTTATATTTAGCACATTTTAAGCAATAAAAAAGAAAACCATAGCTTCCCCTTCTCATGAAATCAAACAAATAAAAGGTAAAATGTCAAAAAATGGAGAGAGAGAGAGAGAGAGAGAGAAATACTAATGGGCTAAATGAATTGCAAATGTACAGGGCTATGGCATGACAGAGGCTGGACCTGTTTTATCCATGTGTTTGGCATTTGCAAAAGAGCCATTTGAAATAAAGTCAGGATCATGTGGAACGGTGGTCCGCAATGCAGAGCTCAAGATTGTAGACCCAGAGACTGGAGTTTCCCTTCCCCATAACCAAGCTGGGGAGATTTGCATCAGGGGTGCACAGATAATGAAAGGTAAGAACTCAATTTTCTCACTTTTTTTTTGCTTTTCAATGCATCCTAGAGAGAGAAAAGAAAGGTTGAACAGTAATTAGTTTCAGAGAATGGGTATTCTCTTTTTAAAATTTACATGATAGATTAGTCCTTTTCTATAGTCAAGCTAGAGAGAGAAATCATGTAAGGTTTAGAAATTGAGCAATATCCGCCTTGTATGTTGTGCTCCAGCGGAGCGGGGTTTAATCATAAATTAATCGAAACGAATGTTTGATCGGTGATCAATTCGATAGGCCAAACAAGTTGGGTAATTTTTTTTAATATATTATATTTTAAAATTATTATTTATTTTTTTAATATTTTAAAAATACAGCTAAATCGGATTCAATCAGTCTAGTTTTGACTTGACCGATCTCTCACTAATTTAAAAGCAAATTTGATCCCTGTGACACTGCTTTCAAAAGTCAATAACTCGTTATCAAGTTGTACAAAATTTCGATTTGCAATAGGTATCCTATTAAGTTTTGTTTTTTGTAGCTCATTGGAACTAAATAGTCTAGCAAGATAGAAAAGAAGGTCATGACCCACACAAAACTCACAAGAGATTCCTTACCTGATAGAACGCCTATATATTGGCCCATGGTTCGGATTAGTGCTATTTTGGAGAGTGTGCTCTTCGTGACAGGAAAATTTTGTGGTCATTTCTCAATATGATCTATGTAAGGTGTTCATTTTAAATAATCAAAGTAAGGCGTAACTTTAAATTTTGATGAAAGATGCAGTTTTGGTGCTAAAGCCCTCAATTATGAATTAAAAAATTATAAAATTTGAAGCTTTAAAAAATGGTGTAGATTAAAACATATCTATAAATACATAAAAAGTCTAAAAATGTGTGGTCTAAATAATGTGTTACCAAATACATTATTTTTACTTAAAATCTTATTTTTCTATATTCATAAATCTCGAGGTACAAATCGAGAGGATAAAATGTTCAAGACAACCTATCTCTTCTAAAAAACAAGGTATCTTTCTTTTTAGGGCAAAGGACTAAAATATCTCAGTTCCATCATTTTTATATTAAATTATCAAAGTGACCCTCCATCTAACACAAAAATATTGGTCCTTACCTAAGGTTAGGTTGGACACGTGGTACCTAACCCTACATCTACCTATCCCAATTTTATAAGCAAACACTAGGGTTTCCTTTCAAACGAATGAGGGACCCATAATTTGGTGAAGCAATTTGTTTTGTCACTAGGAGTTCAAAAACTTGAGAAGCACACTAAATTTTGTACATAATTTAAACTATTTTTTTTAAAAAAAGGTATACAATAACATGTTTTACTTTTGATACAAAAAGATTGCGTTAGATGTGAGATCAGATGGTTGGAAATATGTCATTGTCTAACTACAAAATCTAAAATAAAATTTTTAAAATATTGTGACATATCTCAATTTTTCCGATTTTACAATCAATAGTTAAAAACACAAAAAACCTATAGTTAAAAACAATTGTGACTTCATTGTACAAAAAATGAACACTCTCATAATATTTTTAATTGACAATCAATTACCCATTATCATCATCATCTTCATCACGTACACCTATCTCAATTCTCAACTATTAAACATACAGTTTTCTCGAATTTTGAACAGGGTATTTGAACGATTCGGAGGCCACTAAGGGGACCATAGACAAAGATGGTTGGTTACATACCGGAGATATCGGTTATGTCGATGATGATGAGGAGATCTTCATTGTGGATAGACTGAAAGAGCTCATCAAATTCAAAGGCTTTCAAGTTGCACCAGCCGAGCTCGAGGCGTTGCTTGTGTCGCATCCAGCCATTGCCGATGCTGCCGTAGTCCCGTAAGTCAAACACACCTAACTTAACAACTATTTCACATTTTACCCATTTCGAACCATTCTAAGTCATGATAGTGCGTATTTCAATGAGATTTTTTAAATTAAATCAAAAGACCTGGTAAAATGTTAGGCAGTTTATCTCTTAGATACGTTCTGATAAATTTCTCATTTTTTAATTCGGATATTAAGTCAGAGTCCTAATTACTATGCAAATTTAGTTGTTGGGGCCATGAGACCTTGAATTTTAACCTATTTTATTTTATTTTTCACATTGTAGGATGAAAGATGAAGCAGCTGGAGAGGTCCCTGTGGCCTTTGTTGTTAGGCTTAATGGATCCCAAATCACTGAAGATGAGATCAAACAGTACATTGCCAAACAGGTACATCTCTCTTTCTAAACTTTTCTACAAAAAAGGACAGATTCTTTGGCTCGCCAAACGTCACATCACAGTCATCAAATAGTTGTTTTGGTAAAAGGGTAGATAATAGCGTAACGAACAAATGATATGCATTGACAGACATGGACATTGGTTTCTGTGAAAATGAGGATCGCCACATGGAGAGCGTTCTTGAGTGACAGTAATCTTTTAGGTTTGAGGTCTATTTGGGTGGGGTGGGTGCGTAGGAATTTAGGGCTTGGATGCGTAATTTGGAATTTAGACTTTGGAAACTATTGTTAAGCAAACTCTCAAGACAAGAAAGATCTCTCTCTCAACCCATTTTCCCTTCCTTAATGGAGCAATATCTCATGCATTTGGATGGCATAAACAGGTGATTTTCTACAAGAGAATTGCAAAGGTCTTCTTTGAGAACTCAATTCCCAAAGCCTCCTCAGGCAAGATCCTGCGCAAAGAACTCAGAGCAAGACTGGCAGCTGGGAGTCCACAATAGATACACCACCACCAATGGAGAGCCATGGCCCGAGCTCCTCCCCCTTTGTGCATTACAGATCATGGAATTTGATAATGTGTGGGAATTTTAATGTATAGAGAGATATGAGAAGAAGCATTTCCTCTTTGAAACTATGACCTATATAACATTCGTTCCTTTATTATTATTGACCCGGTGTTGAGTTTCAAGGGTCACCCAAATTTTTATTTGCAAAGTCCGTATTCATATATATGTATGAAGTATGAAGTATGAAGGACTATTTGTGAATTGTGAAATATTTGTCAAGTTATTTGATGTTGGGGTTCCTCAATTATGTCAGGTCCCAAATGCGTGTACTATGTATGGGCTTTTGGCCCCTGCTTTCCATCTCTCTCTCTCTCTCCATTGACAACCCCACTTCTCTCTCTTCGTACTTACCATGTGGCTTGCCATCATAAGGAAGTACCACGCATGAATCACGTCGAGATATGACATGATAAACAAAGTCACAGGTGGCCCAACAAATTAAAAAGCAGAGGAGAAGGTTTATTTCCTTGACATGCTTCGCTTGGGTCCCCAATTCACCAAGATTTCTATTCTGATTTGCCCGGCCCGACTCAGGCCATTTCGGAGCCGAACCGGCCTATATATTTTTAAAAAATAAAAATCAGGAAAACAAAGAACTCAAATTATTTCAAGGCTTTCCACACCAGAGTGACCTGATCTAGTCTGACTCAGGCAACTTCCCAAGTCAAACATGCGATTCGGAATTAGACTCTTGGCTCGCAGTGATGCCACAATGCAATACCAAGGTTTCGAATCCACCCCTTCCAATAATGCTTATGGCTAAGAAGAACAGAATTCAATCCCCCCTTCCATCAAACAATTTTCTTTTCCTGGGTCGTTTCTTTCCAAAAGGGAGCGGAGTTTTATTCGATTTTTGGGACAAACTTAAGTATTTAAACCCTTGACCTCCCTCAACCAAACTGATATGTCTACCAATGAGCCAACGCTGAAGAGACGGTTCCAAACAATTATCCATAGCCACTGTAACAACCAGCACAACAGTCCCAAAGAAGTCCACATCGAAATAACTTGAATTGTTCAAACCTTCTTTTTTTATTTTGTAAGCTATATGATCCTTATTTCATGGTGGTTTACAAAATGTTATAGCAGACAGTTATCATTGTAGGTGTTTTTGGAACCTTTGCATTTTCACCTCCATTAGGAATCGCAAACTCCTTTCACTGTTCAACAACAGACAGAGATGGCTGATGCCAAGCTAGAATTGTCCAAGTACATTGAGATTCTGAGATTGAAAAGCAGAGGGGGGGAAATACAACAAAGGCTTGTACCACCTATTTCTCTAGATAATCACATTGAATAATACTTTAAGTACAAGCCATATTCAGCAATGGGGGACCGATACTTTCTTCCTTTTTATTGACAAAGACGTAATTGATAAGCTATAAACATTACTACTTCTGCATGAAATCACAGAGCACAAGTTTTTTTCTCTTAAGAATTGATATTAAGTTTAGAACAGATACAGTGATGATTTAGGGAGTCCCACAAAACCAACATGCCGATTTCTACTTCTTGAGATGAGGGAAACACTAGTAAACATCGTTCTTGGGATGCTTCGCTTCAGCATGCTCCCTGCATTTCACCTCTGAAGAGGTACTTATAAATGTCTGCATGCAAACCTTGCACTGTGGGGCACCACCAACCACAATGTATTATGTTTCAGTATTTGATAATTAAGTTCTATAAAAAAACTAGGACAATAAAAATGAAGTTTCATCATACATTGGAAAAATAAAGAAAGTGTATGTTTGGTTCACGTGAAACATTATCTAAGAAAGAAATAAGTTTCTAAAAAACATTCACATGAAAAAATTCTCTCAATTGGTCAAGTGAAAGAATATTTTTACATCAATTGGTTGCCAATTGGTGTAAAAAGATGCACTATGACCAATTGATATGAAAATATTCCCACACTTGATCGTATGAGAGAATTTGTTCAAGTGACATTTTCACGCAAACCAAACGTGGTATTATAATACCTCCTTCTGGATAATTGTGTAATAAAATGCATGTTAAACTCGAAATGGATGGTCCTGCACATTTTGTTCACATGCAAAGAAGCTTGGCGCACACAAACAACCCATACAGACAAATCAAAATCTGGACCATTCACTTTCCCAAAATAAGCAAAAACAAAGAAATACAACAAGAGAATGAAGACAAGAAGCTATGTAGTATATCCAACATAGACTTAATCTTCTTCAATTTATAGCCCCAGGCAAGAAGGCCTAAGCCAAAGAAATCTGCTGAAATATTGAGAAAAGGTCTCCCAGTCCCCATATCCACCTCACCTTTAGTGGTCATCCTTCGATGAGAAAAGGATAAGAACAAATAACGGAATAATAATGATTTGGGTAACAAGGGAGAAAGAAAACATACTAAACCAAAAATATAAAAATAAAAACAATGGTGAGACACTTGCAGGGAGTCCACCGGCAAAGGATCATGTCACAAATCCCAAAATCCATTCCCTTTCTCTTAACTCTTCTTTGTCTGACACTGGCATATTTATAGAAAAAATCCATCAAAACAGAACTTGCCCCATGAGAAACCATACCACTATTTAAATCCTAACCCTTCATTTTCTCAAAATTAAATTTCCAACTCTAAGCTTAAATTCTCCACAACAAATAAAAAGACAACTATCTTTAAGATATCTACAATACTAAAACTAAATAATCTAAATATCCCTAAAATCTCTATAAAATTTAAATATGAAAAAAACTCTACTGCTTCATACGAAAACTCTAACCTCTATAAAAACAAAGGAAAAGTATACACCATTTACTTTTAGCACAAGGAGGTCACAGTCACTCATGTCCTTTAGATTTCAAACTGGGTGGTTACGAGCATGACATTGATTACACTCAAAGGTCAAAAAAAATTTCTCGAACTTCGTAGTACACCCCAAACCATCCAATTTAACATCTAATGGTTAAAAGTAATTGTGACCTCCTTGTAAGAAAGGTAAATGGTCTCATTGTATACAATCCCAAAAACAAAAACAATATTTATTACATCAAATAGAAAAACCTAAGGGCCTATTGCAAACTTGAAGTTATTAAACTACCCATGAAATAAAACACCAGTTAATAACCCAAGCTTAAAATGACGTTATGCACTTTGATAAACAATGGATCAATCATCATGGTGACGGGGAAATGACTAATACCATAACGATTCTTCTAACAGTTTGACCTAATCACCTATCGAGTTTTAATATAATTATAGAAGGTGTTCCATGGGTTTGCATCTTTGTTACTGCCATTGAATCCTAATGGTTTCAAGAAATTGTGAAAGAATATGCCAAAATGATTATCTAGAGTAGACCAACAAATCAAGATGTATGAAAGATGTAAACTGGCATAATAGAACCAGATTACTATCTAGTAGAAAAATCCTGGAAAGCTTCAAAGATACTAGAATTTGTACAGGCCCATGGTGTATGGGGAAAACCAAGTACTTCTCACTTTCATTGCTGCCTAAAAAAGAAAAAGTTCAGCCTTAAGCATTACCTATTTTACTAAACAAGGTCTGTTTTTGTCACGTTCTTGTCTTTCCTCAATTAAAAGTGCACACTCCAAAGTTTCAGCAATTTAAAGTTTTCATAAAAAAAAAAGAACTGGGAGTCGACACAATGATTCTCAAGACAGATGTGGTGCACATGTCTCTAACAGATGTAATGGCCTTCAAGAGAAAAAGGGAATTAGGAGAGATTCACTCCATGAGCAAACCCCCATAACAGAAAACCAGTAATTTTGTAATGAGAATTACAAAATCAGCGGAACGAGTTTGCATTGTCAAAATCAAAATGTCTTTCAGATGCTTTTTTAGTCCCATTCTTCTAGAAAATACCAAGATTCCCTAATAACAACATTAGATTTTCAAGAGAACTTCATCTAATCGAAAAAGAAGATCTCTGCTAAAATGATTTCTTTAAGTTAACAAAAGATAATCTTGAATTGGATAGAACCCATATCAAATTTCAAATAACCAAGCAAGATGCTCCTCCCATTAAGTGGCATGGAGCTCATGAAGTGGAACCAACAACCACGGGGAACCCAGGGCCTCTTCTTTAAGTGGAGCACTTGGGTGGCTCACATTCTTGTCAAGAGATAGCGTGCAACTTCTAGAGTACTACAATTTTTCAGAATCTTGCATGGCATAGGTAGGTCACGCTGCATGTAAATTCATGATCCACATAAGCTAGCCTAATATTATCAAGTATAAAGTATGTCAGGCAAAGCCAACTCAGACAAAAATATCAGTTTCCCTGATTTATTACGTAACTACATAAAAAGCAACAATGATCAGTATTGTACTAAATCACCATAACCTTTTTATTTGTGAAAGGCCAGTACTATGCAGGAATCACAGAGTCAAGGGGAAATCATTCTTGAGCATTGCAGAGATGACAGTGGAGGGAGTATAGAAGTTCCTGACTTTGGATTCATGTAACCTCACCTTAATTATTCAAATGTGATACTCAGATATATATTGCTCAAGGCATTATTCCCCTACAATTGTACACATTATCTGAAATTTTCCTTGTTATCGACTCCTGCCACTAGAATGCAAGACATTGTGATTTTGTAGGTGTTTGCACATTGTTGCGGGGGATATGCTAAGAACATCAGAGCAAAGTTACCAAGGGATGGAACTTTCGTGCAAAAAAATGATATATTTCCCAAACCAAATCCAGTCTTAGTTCTCCAAAAATATAAGAGCTTACTCGATTTTATTTAAGAATTCATAAAAGTAAAGCTCCCAATGAGAAAATATAATAGTTCATGTATGAAGTTCATGAGTCATGATATCAAATACAATATATACTAGGGAACAAACTGCCATGCAGCCCAAATCATCAGCTCTATTAAAACAAAACGAAGGTAAAGCCACAAAACTATTCAAGAAAAACAAAATTGTGAAAAAATCACCTGAATGGTCATTGCCTTTTGTTTGTTTCAAGCTGGCTACCTGCACAAAACCACGAAAGGAACCCATTATGCATTAAAACAAAAAGAGTTTATTTTCAATCGACACTTTATTTGGTATAAGATCCTACAACCCAAAGAAGTCCCTGATGGAACCCAACACACCATTAAATAATTCATGGAGATTATAGAAACAAGAATAACAACATGACATCCAAAATATACATTGGCTATTGCACAAAGCTCAAGCAGAAAAGACAAATCTTATCAAATGATAGGACAATGAAAACATCAAATAGCCATCCTCACAAGAAAATTCATACATAGCCACATTCTTCAACGGAAATATTGATTACAACCACTAAATGAACAAAAACTAAAACATCTTGCAAGACCTTTCCACCATTGAGTATGCATAACACATAATCATTTACAAGATAATAACAAAATTGCATGCAAATGCCCCATATCTATACTATATTATTAAAGGTGAGTTGGGAGGATCAATTTGTTTCACAAAAATGACCTCATTTGAGTTTGTTGATTCCATGTAAGATTCCATGATTCTGCGGCCAACTTATAAATTTTGTCATACCCGCGATCAAAGTTAGAAGATTTCTTAGAAAAAGGTATGTGTCTAGTTTATATTTCCAGTAATATGCTTAATCCTTCAAGGCAATCTAATTGTTTTCCGCTGAAGTAAATGTTAAATGCTGTAATTTTTAGAGCTCAATTATTATTTTTTGGAATATCATATTAAGAGCTTCATAGGAGGAAATCAATATCATGGCTGTACCTTTATTGCATATTACATTGGGTTGCGTATTTTCTCCTTTTGCCTTTTCAAAACATATGTGAGTCCTCTTCCAACAACTTTACTATTACTTCTACCCCAAAAGAACCTTGAAATTAATCTCTCTCTCTCTCTCTCTCTCTCTCTCTCATGCCCATGCATCTCATGGGCAGCGCTTCCTGATACATCAATAATGTAGTGGTTAGTTCAAATGCAAATGCGAAGTACATGATCTACTTCAGACTCAACCACACATTTTTCTTAGAAGTTAATACAGATGTTTGCATTTTAGGTGTTCACCAGACAACCTATGGGGAAAAAAAAATGATCGTTTCAGTTTATGTTATTCTTCAACAATATAGTTTGATAGTCATACGAGAACATTTTCAGACACTTATATGTGTGCTCCAACAGTGACATGTACATGAAAGGACACTGGGACTTCAAAAGAGCTTCTCGTAGATCTGATAATACATGTGTATTTCTGAATTGATAGCATGATATTTTTGGCAACATGCACATGGAGAGAAGCGTTTCAAGCTTCCTAAAGCTCATACGTATCTATCTACCTAAAGTTCATATGTATGTACTACCACATTTCGGATGGCATCATGCATGATCTTATGAAATGAAAAGGCAGAGATGCTGCTCAATAATATAACAGTCCAATAAGAGTGCAAAAGCATATATCGATCCAATAATCAAATTGGGAACCTACAAAATGAAAACTCATTGATGCTGACGCAAACAAAGGTTTGATATGGCAATCATAATTTTTAGAACTTCTCTCTTTGGAGACACCGGATACAAAAGAAGTGTTCCGAACTTGGACTACAGCTCCAAAAGCATATGCATCCACCATATTTAGGATGGCATTATGTGAGATTGTATGAAATGAAAGAGCAGAGATGCTTTATGCCAACAGTCCGGTATCAGATGATAAGCACACCTTGGTCCCCCACAATCAAATAGGAAATCTACAAATTGAAAACCCAAACCTACAAATAGAAAACCCACTTATGCCGATGCAGGCAAACGTTTAATACGAAATCGTAGCCACTATTTTTTAGCTCTAAAGTTTGGCTAAATTTAGCAGAAGTTTGGTCCAACTTAAGACCTCTGGCTGAAACCAAATTGGGGTAGAACAACCAGAATGAACCACAAATGGCCAAGCAAAATTCACTTCAAATTGCCCCATATTTTCCCAAATTGCGTTGAAATCATATGTGCATTACTCTCAATTACTTCAATGATCATTTACCCTCTGACTTTGGCCAGAACAAGGCAAATTTTTCATCTCAAATTTCAGCTAAATCAGTCATTTTTTTCTCCTGTTTCCTTCTGAATTAAGACATATTCTCATTTATTTTTACATAAAATTTAAACAGAAATTCAAATGGTCTTTTAAAATATGAATCTAAAAGCAATAAAATAGACACAAAATTCAAACAAATTCAGAAAAAATTCACCCTCGAGCTTCCCAAACTTGGATGACCCAAATACCAGTTTATCGCAGGACCCAACTCCCAATTAACTTTAGCTCTCTACTTGTTCACACAGTCTAGAGAGCGACTAAACAATTTGTCGTCCCCAAAAAGCGATTAGAGCTAAAACGGCAAACAAAAAGATCATTACAGTGGCTTAAATGCAAATATAGAACGCTAATAACACTCCTAAAGTAGAGAGAGAGAGAGAGAGAGAGAGAGAGAGAGAGCACAACTAGAAGCTATCTGTTTCTCCATGTTTCTCTCTAGCTGTCTTCAACCTTTGCCCGTTCCCTCCCCCATTCTCTCTCTCGCCAAACAAGCCCCTCGTTCTTCAACTACTTCACTGAAGGAGCTCTCACGCCCAGTTCCCTTAAATACTAACACTATCACAGTTATGGAGAAAACTAGATTTTTAATGGAACTGAGAAAGTCTCGCCATGTTTATAGAGAGAGAAAAATAAATGCTGAGAGGTGGGCAAATGGGAAGCAAACCATGGAATTAATTTAGGGAAGCCCCTCGCTTACGGTGTTAGAATTGAAATCAACTTCGCTTTTTAGAGAGAGAAGTTTCTGGAGCCGCAAGAGAAAAGTCTATATAGAGCTGAGGATAAACAATCAAATTTTATCCTACCTCAAAAATTTCACTAAAAACTGGTTGTTTTGATGGGAAAATATCTTCAAATTGATTATCTTGATCTATGAACATGATAAAAAAATAAGAACATGATAAAAAAAATAGATTTCAAGTTTTAAAAATAGTGTAATTGGTACCTCACTTTTTTGGCCATCAATTTTCAAAATTTTCTAGTTTTAAACTATCTGTACTACTTTTGAAACTTTAAACTTGTAAATAAAAATAAAAATATATTTAAAAGCTATCACAATGGCGTTGAAACCACATTTCTTGACACTCTTTGAAGTTGATTGTTTAGAGCCTACCTTTTGTCATTGGAGAGAAAGTAGGTTTACACTATTGTTGATGGGATTGTATACGACTAAACCATTTAACATTGATAGAAGAAGGTCACAATCATTATAGCTTTTAGATGTCAAATTTGATAGCTTAAATTATAATTATTATAGCTTTTAGATGTTAAATTTGATAACTTAGATTATGTCATGAAGTACCATAATTTTTTTTTTCCGGTAAATGAGACAATGACATACTTATAACCTCCAATTTTAAAATTTGATGGATAAGACTACTTGTTAACTCATTGTATTAAAAGTAAGTGGCCTCTTTATATACTTTTTCTTTGCTGATTGAAGTGTGTGCAGGGACTCGGTTCTTCTAGCACCGTCCGACCCAATGGTGGATGGTGATAACCGGTGCTATAAAACTTGGATCCAATAGGTGGATGGCCCACCTAAGAATCATGTGTCACATATTATTGGATTATTAGTTCTGATCGGTCCAAATCAATAATCTAAACACTATTTAAAAAATAAGAAATTCAAAAATAAGGGTTATGGACTCTAGATAAAAGGAAACATTATGTTTGGGTAATTATACTAAGGGAAACGTTTCTATACTTCCCCTACATCATAGAAGATCTATGCTTCCCCTACCATCCAGCCGCCCAATTTTGATCGAGAGTGTCACTCACCGTTTGATCTTAGATCTAACGTCTCAAAGTATTTTACATGCTATCTTCTCATTGGGGCACACCTATCAAAAATATTAAAAATAATTTTTTGATAAAATATAATGACTAATATACTTGAATCTTTTAGGGGTATTTTGGTTATTTTATTTTATTGAAAATATATTTTCTATATTTTTCGCTAGTACAAGTTTAATAGAGGATTGGACGTCCAAAATTTGGTATCAAAATAGTTTATAGAAAAAAATTTAAAATAAAAGAGTGTAGAAACGTGATAACGTGATTGGGACAATGTTAACCTTCCATTCAAAATGTACGGTTGGATAAAAAGAAGTATATAAGTTTTATGTTGTAGGGGCAACATAGAAGCTTGCCCTTATACGAAAGGCAACATTAGAAAAGCTAAAAATATAAATATAAACAATGGGGTTTTAAGACGGTGTACGGAGCCGCCGTTCCTTCTTAGCACCAATTTAGTCCCAACCAATTTCCAATTTGGATCGACCAATTTCCTGCAGATTATGATTTTTAAATGGTAAAAGTGCTTTATGAGTCGACGGCCTCACTAGTCCGCTTACTCATAAACATCCATGTTTAAGGTGAACCTCCACAATTAAATATTCATATCTAATGGATAGAAGAAAAAATATTAAAATAAATGTCTTAAACTTTAGATTCATGATCATTATAGTGTAGATCATGGATTTATACAAATTTAGATCCAAGATCTATACAAATTTAGATCTTTAGAGGAAGCCCACACGAGAATAGTATGAGTAGGGGGGCTCACAAAACCGGTGATAACCTTTAGGTCCACAAGTTATTATCGAGATTTAGAAAACGTTGACAGCAGAATGTAACGGCCACGGTTTATTTCTTTTATATAATTAGTATAGGGCATTATAACAAAAAAAAAAAATTATTGTAGCAAAAAATAAAGGAAAGAAATGTGAAAAAAAAAAAGAAGGCAAAAATAAAATATTATGATTTTTAATTAACTGGTGATGATCAGTAGGCCGGAGTGTTATCATAAAGATTGTGATTTTAGAACTTTGGTCATTGTGCCATACGGATCACATGATCCGGGTAAGGGAACTTAGAATTGAGACCCGAATGCTATGCGACATATCGTATCGTCACAGTCTCATCACCATCCATCACCATGTTGGACGTTCACAGGGTGAGAACGGGCTGTACATCTTTGGATCAGTGATATATTTGATGGGATGCCACTATCCAATGACCGCCGTTCCAAGCCCAAGCAAATGATGTGAGGGTGATAAGGCCCTGAGACCATATTATTTCCCATTTCATACAAGGAATATTAACAACTTTCCCTAGACAAAATTGTTTAAATATATGTTGGGATTTAGTTGAGATTTAGTTGAGGGCAAGCTTTTTATACTTCCACTGCGACATAAAACTTATATATTTCCCCCAAATCCAACCGCCCACTTTAAATGGACGTTTGAGATGGCCCAATCACAATATCATATCTCTACATATTTTATTTTTAATTTTTTTACAAAATATTTTAACAGCAAATTTTGGACGTCCACTCTACTCTTAAATTCACACTTGTAAAAAATAAAAAAATAATATTCCCAATAAAATAAAATAAAATGATCAAAATATCCTTAAAAGATTCAAGAGATATTTTTATTATTAAATTTTATCAAAAAATTATTTTTAATATTTTTTTTAAGTGCACCCCATTGAGAAGATGACACGTACCAAATTTCATATTTATACAATTTGTATAAAAAAAAACTAAAAATAAAATAATCTGAGGCGTCGGATCTAGATCAAACAGTCAATGGCTCATTTGATTTAAATTGGACGGGTCGATTGGGAAAAATATATATCTTTTATGTTGTAGGAAAAGTATAAAAACTTAGCCCTATAAAAAGAAGTATAGGTCTTTTATGTTGTAGGAGAAATATAGAAACTTTATCTTTAATTAAGCTGATTACAAGTGGAGTAATGGCTTTCCACGCATTTTGCAAATATTCTCCCCAATCTGCAATGGGTCAGGAGACTCAAGACGGGTAGGTCGGCAAGGATGGGGACCCAACCCAAAAACCTACCTATGGAAACTGGACCCGCATTCGACCAGATCCAAAGTCTCCCAACCGAACTCAAACCAAATTGATTTGGGAGGGCCTGGACCCAACCTGAAAATCTATTTCGCTCAGATTGAAACAACCGAACCTGACTTGACCTAATATGTATTAAAACATAAAGAAAGTATTAGTTTATTACGCTGAAATTATAAAAAATTACCTTAAAACATGATAATTACATGAAAGTGAAATAAAACTAATGCAATTTCCCCATGTCAGCTATCAAAAAAAATTGTTGGATGTTTAACCTGGATCCCGAGCCAACCTGAATGCTACTCGGGTCCTGGACATTGGACCCAGACTTGATCCGTTGTGTCCAATACCTAAACCCAGTGTTTAAAAAAACGTCGAGTCGAACCGGACTCGCCCAGTTCAACTCGAGAATCGCCATGGAGGGATCGAATCGCTTAAAAAAACGGGAATCGTCCGGTTCTAGAGAGAACCGGACAATTCGGCACAGTGACTCGCCGATTCACTGTACGGAATCGGCGAGTCCCGTGAAGAACATGGGTTGCACAGTGTTCTTCACGGGATTCTTTGAAATTTGTCATTTTTTTATCATTTTTTTTGTTTTTTTTGGCATGTGATCTAATTTACAGGCTTTAAGCAGCTTTATTCAGCTTTTACACGGATTAAATGGTTGAGAAATTTTGTGTTTTTAGATCACGAAACTTGCATTTTTAGGGTTTCCGCCTTTCCTTGTGTTTCATGCCGAATAGGGCATGAATCTTTCAAAATTTGTAGGCATTTTGACCGTAAAGTTGTTCATCAAAACCTTTTGTTACTAATTTATGATAATCGTTGAGAAAAACAGAGTTTTTCGGAGATTGAAGGCTCCGGTTCACAAAACCAGGTAAGAAGTTTGGGTTTTTTTTTTTTTCGCCATATGATTAATTTCACTACATATTTTGAAGATAATGAGTTTAATTTGTAGGGTTTTTAATCTTTATTGTGTCTATTATGATTTAACATATTCAATTTTATGTAATTTGGTCAATTACAGCATGAAATTTGAGACGAACACAGAGATGTCTGCGGAACCAAAATTCCGCTGTTTTTTTTTTTTTTCCGCCTTTTGATTTTTTTTCATGATATATTAGAAATAATGTGTTCAAAATTTAGGGTTTTGATTCCTTATATTGTTGTTTATCAGAAAATGTACTAAATTGGATGTAATTTATTCACTTAGAGGTGGATTTTTGAGTTAAAATGACTTATGTAAAATGGCTCTGTGAAGAACATAACTTTTTTTCTTTTCCTTTTTTTTTTTTTTTTTTGTAATCCATGATCGAATTTTTTGTAATATTTGATCGATTTTTTTGTAATCCATGATCGAATTGTTTTTTTTTTTTTTGTAATCCATGATCGAATTTTTTGTTTTTGTAACCCATGATAGAATTTTTTGTAATCCATGATCGAATTTATTGTAATCCATGATCGAAATGTTTGTTTTTTTTTCTTGTAATCCATGATCGAATTTTTTGTTTTATTTTTTATTTTTGTAACCCATGACAGAATTTTTTGTAATCCATGATCAAATTTTTTGTAATCCATGATCCAATTGTTTTTTTCTTTTTTTGTAATCCACGACCGAATTTTTTGTTTTTTTATGTTTTTTTTTTTTTGTAATCCATGATCGAATTTTATGTAATCCATGATCGAATTTTATGTAATCCATGATCGAATTTTATGTAATCCATGATCGAATTTTTTGTAATCCATGATCGAATTTTTTGTAATCCATGATTGAATTTTTTGA